GGGGAGGCTGCGGGAAGCTTTCAAAGGAAAGAACAGCCGTGAATGAAGGGACGGGAGGGGGCGGGAGGCGGCTGGAAGTCCCACAAGTGGCGCCCACTGTGCCTCGGCAACTGTCTGGCGTTGGAGGCAGGTGCGGCCCTCCTGCTGATTCGGCCTCGGTGCCCGCATCGCTGGGTGCCCGCATCGCTGGATGCCGGGTCGGCCTGCGCCTGGGAAGAGGAGTCAGGCTAGCGTGGCCCCGGGGCCGAGGGTCTGGCCCTGGGAGCCGGTGGCCGTCAGCTGGGGCCTGGGGTGGAGGTGCCTTTGCCCAGCTGACCCCTCTTCTCTTCCCCCCACAGGTGGAGCCACGGGAAGCCCAGCCCCACAGACAGCCTGAGGCCGCGTTTCACCCTCGGCGCCGGGATCTATGTTTAAGTTTTAACTCTTGCTTACCAAGACCACGATAATTCCTTCCCCAGAGGCCAGCAGCCCCCCAGCCCCGCGCAGCCCCAGCCTGCCTCCCACCGCCCAGCTGCCCGCGATGCCCGCCAGCGGCCCCGGGGACGCCAGCGGCCCCGCTCCGGAGCGGGGGGAGGAGGAGCGCAAGGTGAGCAGCCGGCGGCGCTGGGCGCTGGGCGCTGGGCCGCGCCGCTCCGTCTTCACGCGGGCCTGTAGGGAAGACCTATCTCCCTGTTTCGGTGATGAGCAAACTGAGGCTTGGAGAGGTTAAATCCTGGTGGTCAGGCTCCGGGACCCAGTCTTCAACCCCCGTGGTGTGTGAGCAGAGCTTCAGACCCCAGGCGTGTGCGATTGTTAGGGCTGGCCTTGCAGGGTCCTCACATCTGGCTTCCTTTCTGGATCGGCCTCTTACTAGCTGTGTGTCCTCAGGTGAGTCACTTTACCTGGGTTAGCTGCCTCTGTTTCCCCAGGGGGGTTAGTAGCTTTGGGGAGGCCAAAGACAAGTTCAGGGGGCTCTGTAGATGGGAGGCCTCGTGAGGGCTCCCCCGGCAGCACAGACAGCCAGGCTCACCGCGGTGCATGGCACACTGTGTGCTGTGTGCTCAGGGCGGCACCAGTCACAGTGGAGATGGTGATTTCCCTCCCCGGCCCCATCCCTGGCGCTGAGCAAGTGTCACTTCTGGCCATGGAGCTAGTGACCTCCTTGTTTTTGGAGCCCCATGAGGGGTGACCTCTTCACCCTTCTGCTCAACTCCAGGATGGGCCTAAATCAGTTAGAGGAGATGCCGGCAGACTGGTAGGTGTCCCTGCCGGCTTTCGACAGGCAACCTCGGGACCTCACCAAGCCGTGTCCACCTGTAGGCTAAAGCCATTCGAATCCCCAGCACGTGGACTCTGTTTTTCCCTTCTGTGGAATGGTAGACCCTGCCACCACCCTTCCAGGGAAGCTGTGCCAGCCAACGGCCTTCCTGGGGCGTCCCATCTGTCATGCCCTGGTCCCTGCAGTTCCCTCTGCCTGTCCTCCTCTCCCTGAGTGGGAGTGAGGGGTGGTGATACTTGGTGGTGTCTGAGAGCTTCTGGGGCACAGTTTGTCCTCCTGGAACCAGGGTGGACACCTGACACCAGATGTGGGACCACTGAGCGCTCTGAGGGGGTCAGCTCTGGTGACCCGCCATCAGCGGCGGTTCCGAGACCCGCTCCCTGCCCACCCTCCCGCCGCGTGCGCTCAGCTCCTTCTGGGCTTGCTCATTCTTAGAGCCAGTTTCTGTCTTCTGGGTGGTTTCCATCCATTTGGTCCTTGAGGACAGCCCTTGAAACAAGTGGGGCAAGGACAGATGGCCCTGGTTTAGAGATGAGGAAGCTGAGCCCAGCTTATCAGTGGGGGATCCAGATGAGAGCCTGCTCTCCTGTATCGGAGTCTTTTTCACTGCCCCACCTGCATGGGTCCTGTTATGGACACACACACACACACACACACACACACACACACACACACGCATACACGCATGCACACGTGCGATGCGTGCACGAAACCCAGACACCTGTCTTTCCAGCCCAGGATCCTGCAGAGTGCCACGGGACTTGGGACCGTGTATACCCCCAAGCTGGGAAGAAAGTGCATGTTGCAGCCCACTGGGTGGGGCTCCTAGGGGTTACAGGTCAGTCCCTTTCTTTCTGATCCCGCGGACTCAGGCCGCAGCAGACCCAGACCCTGCCGCCATAGAGTCAGGGCCACCTGCACCCACCTGTGCTCTTGAGTGGCAGCTGTGGCCATGGATAATTCCCTTCCCTCCTTGGGCCTGGCTTTGCTCCTCCGTTAGATTAGATGACCCTGACCCCTGCCCCGGTCCGATGTCCTGACTGGTGCTGACACAGCTCCGTGTCCATGCACTTGCAGTTTGTGGTCAGCTGCCCCCCCGCCCCCCATTTGGAGGAGGTGGGGCAGCCGGGCCACATTTCTCCTGTTACTGGACAGGGCTTCCCTGGGCCGCAGGGCCCCCAGCCCCTCCCATGGAGAGCCGCAGACAGGCTCTCCATCATGACAGTTCAGGACAGAGAAAAAGCACTGGACAGAGAGTCCCGAGTCTCGGGCCCCAGGCCTGAAGATGTCACTTATTGGAGATGTGACTTCAAGCCCTCTGGGCTTGCGTTTGCTCAGCTGTAAAATGGGGATAGTAGCTCTAGCTGTGCCTGTTTTATGGGGTGGTTGTGGAAGTCAGATGAGGTCACGGGCATGGAGTGAGTGCCCTGCAAACAGCAAAGTCTGGTCTAATTATGAGGGATTACGATTGCTATTATTATCTACCCATAGTAACTGCTCTGGCTCAAGAGGCAACAAACACACCCAGACCCAGAGCCTGGTGCTGATAGAAGGAGCTGACAGATGGGGGCTGGGGTATGGCGGGCGCTCTCCGCGGTGTGCATGCTGGCTCACCTGGTACACCTCCCTGGCACCGCTGGGCTGATTCCCGTGCAGCTCCCAAGGGGGGCAGGCAGAGACGCTGACAGCCGCCCACGGCAGCCAGTGAAAGCCAGGCCTGGGGCAGGGGTGCCGTGTGGCTGCAGAGTGGAAGATGGGTTTGGGCCACAGCCCAAGGAGTCTGGCAGAGTTTCCAGGGGCACCTGGCACAAAGGAACTGTTTGGTGAGCCAGATGCAGGGGTGTGGCTGCTCACTGGCCCCTTCACCACCTGGCCCCATGTGCCCTTCCCGCCTGCCCCTCCCCCCCCCACCGGCCACGCCTCCCTGTACCTTTCACTCCAGTATTTCCTGGAGCTGCCAGGCCTTCGTTTATGCTGCTTCCGCTGACTGATGTCCCCTTTCCCTCATTTTCTCTCCTCTCTGATCAAAGCCCTGGCTTCAATCTGTCTTGAATTACAGAGAGAACCCTCGGTTCTCAAAATGTGATCCCTAAGCCAGCGGTACCAACAGCACCTGGAAGGCTTAGAAATGCAAAAGTTCGGGCCCCACCCTAGACCTGCTGAATCAGAAACTCTGGGGAGGGGACCTAGCAATCCTTGTTTTTACTAGCCCTCTGGGGGATTTGAGAAGTACTGGTGAGGATAATATCCAGCCCCGC